ATAGGACTTTTAGTCCCACACTACCAGAAGCGCAGGCACTCGCTGAGATCACTTATGGAAGCAATCGTGGCTTTACTGGGGTGGGAAGTCAGGGGATTTTAGCGCACGCATTAATGTCAGCCAGTTCAGCTTGCCCACACGCATTTCACACCCTAGGCACACGTGTGCTGTGCCTGCTCTCCTCCCCATTCAGACTGGGATCACTGTTGCTCCATAGCAAAGGGAAACAGTACCCTAGGAAGTAGAACGGATTATTTTGCTGCCACATTAGATAAAATTATTTTAAAGTGTAAGATATAGGGAGTTTTCCCTAGGGTGTCATTTTGCAGTGAATCATGGCCATACACACATAAACATGTACCGTTAGGAGGAGTCAAACTCTGGCCCCTTCGGCAGAAATGTTGTAGACTTCAGCTGCTTGAGAAAAGGCAAAGCACAGCAGCCCCTGGCTAGCTACTCGGAAAATAATAGTAATATACACTAACTACTCTTTTTTTTTCTATTTTTTTTCACTTTTCTCTAGAAAATAGTATTTAACACTACATTAAATGAACCCAATCCAAATTCATAAGGTGCCCTGTCTGCTTCGCCCTGGTTCCCCAGACGCCACTGCCGAAGGCCATCGCTGCAGAAGACACCTCAAGATTGTAACTCACGTTCCCAGTGCAGTAAAAAGCGTCCTGTACTGAGGAGGGCAGTTGCTTGTACCGTACTCTGGCTACCTGTCATGACCAGAGGAGGTCAGGTGCACCCCGGCTCCTGTTTCACTCAAGCACAGGGTTGGTTGACATTTATTTTCCGGGAACCTCCACGTTTCTGCAGTATGACAAGGTGCGCCGGATGGGAGTCCTGTGTGGGGCGAACGGCACCGTCTGCTGTGAATTCTGCCATGGTCACGCTGTGTGCGTGTCACACACCTCCTCGTGCATGCCACATACCTACCGGCAAAACCAAGGAATTAGCAAATGAGGTAAACTATTCTCCAAAAACCACCATGCCAGCAAAAAAATGGGAAGGTATTAATCTGAAATCGGTAATGTGAGTCCTTCAGTAGCTCTTGCAATCACATGTTCACAAAGTAGGAAAAGCGCACACACACAAAGATGCTGATCAGGAAAGAGGCAACACATTGCTGGAAGTTTCAGGTGTATGCAGCAGGTAATACGAAGAGATCTTCAATTAGAAGCAAAGAACCAGCCACAACATTCACTACAAGTGCTGCACCCTCCTATTTGATTCTTCTACTTTCTTTCTGATTTTTTATTTGCACACTTCCGCTTTGACCATTTTGAGGATTCAGTCCATCTTACCCCATGGAAATTCTGACACAATTCTTTCCAGAGTAGCACTATTATCAAGGCACCGTAAGGAATGAGATCCACAGCCACACAGCAACTGGATGAGCAGTGCACATTAGAAACGTGTCTCTGCTGAGGGAAGTACTTCGCAAGACAGAAAATAGGAGCAGGGGGTGAGGGAAGGATGTGGAAGGAAGAAATGAGAGAAGCAAACCTCCAAAGCAGATTAATCGTCATTTCACAGGATATACTGTGTACCACTAGCAGCTCATGAAGAAAGTATATTTGTGAAGGGCAGTAATATCATCACTTTTAAGAATGTCCAAAAAAACATTTTGATAGAAGTACAAATAGAAAATCCCATGTCATATGCATACAGAACAGCAGCAAGATACCGCATAAAAATACACATCCACTGGGAATCGAGGAGCAGTAGAAAGGCCAGAAGCAACAAGGAGTTTTGATTTAGCTGAGGAAAGCAAATGCCTTTTGCCTTCCAGTGCAAAGAGCATGTACACAATCAAGGAGACAGATCAGTTCAACAGAGAATATCAACAGTATAATGGCTAGAGTTGTACAGTACAGGTCCCAAAGCCAAAGAAATTCTTGGCATAGCAGCCCTGTGAGAATTGCATAAGTTCTTGCATGCTAGGAAATTTAGGCTTCATCCAGAAATAATAAAATTTGTAAGGGAATTAGCCTGCCTGCTGCGATGCTGTATAACTTTGCTGTAATGCCGTTGAAGCCATTTGGATATAAAATCCCTATTTACAAAGACAAATTCTTAAATAGACAACTGGAGAAATAACCTGGTGCTCTGATTGCTCTGGGAAATTGTAATACACCAATTGCCAAGTCTTTGCAGTGTGTAACAGCTAATTCCCCTTACCATGTCTGTAATGGTCAGAGATGATTGCATTGCTGCTGGAGAACAAGCAAAGTTCATCCTTTCAGCAACGCTTTAAAGATTCATGAGTAGACTATCGCTAACACAGCAAAGATAAAACACTCATTGGAAATGCACTCTGAATTTGAGGATTAATATCCAAAGGTTAATAGGAAAAGTTTTTTTCTCTATCCCTTCTGCCTCTATGAGTGAGGCATTTTTTTAGCGTCAGGAAGTTTGCTGTGCTGTACGTATCGAGAAAACCTAAATGACTCTTTTCCAAATCTTACTGCTCTGCCATCCTCCTCCCCCCCAGGGGATTTAGTGAAAGATGATGCCTCCATCTCCCACTGAAATGGAGACTTCCTCTTTCTGCCAGCTGACTACCAGCCAGCTGATTTCTGGTGACAACCCCTCAGCTTTGACAGTTTGTGAATATTTCAGTGGGCGGTTTGTTGTTTTTTCTTTTTTGTGTGTGTGTGTGTGAGAGAGGATGCAGTTTAATGTGTCTGCCCTGTTACTTATTTTGAAGTTTTTATAGCTCTGAAACTCCCTGCTGTATTTATTTCATTACAAATGACCCTAAACATGCAGTACAGAGAATCTCAGGCTTGTTCAGAATTAAGTAAAGAAAAGCTGTATCTGCATTAAGACTTGGGACAACATGCAGAGGAACCTGCCATTTTAAGAGTAGGCTTGCAAAACTAAACACTCCTATAGGTGATCTAGGATTAACAGAAAGGTCAAGTTACCCTTGACTGGACTCTTTGCTTTTCTTTATTGAGTATGTATGTGTGCGTGTGTGTGTGTGTGTGTGCGTGTGTGCAGACTCTCTTACCTCAGAGCTCGCAAACGCCTACGACACCCCTCCGTCGTGGCCTGTGTGGGGACACCTGGAAGCCGACAGAGCTCTCCCCTCCCACAGCAGATAGGTGGGAGCTGTGGTTTAGCAACCCAAGGCCTGGGAACTAAGACATTCACCATGATGCACCGGTCCTGTCACGGGTATGGCTGAAGAGACAAAGCAGTCTCGGGGCAAGTTTCTAAAAATGGCATATCCACCTAGACATCCGTAGGCCGAAAGCACCAGTTCTGAAGATTTGGGCCATCAAAACCAATGTGTATGGACACAAAACATCTTGACAAAAGGGACTTGTCTGTGACCTATTAGTTTATTTCCAAAACCTCCTTTTGATTAAACTTACATACATCAGGGAGTGCTGTAGGTCCTTTCGGTGTTTTTCAACAAGGTTATTTATGTCAAAAGTAATCAAAGAAACTGAAGTGAGCTAAAAAACCACCTTCATTGACTAATAAGGGAAACTGTTCATACAGTTACATACTTCAAACAAAAGTGCACCACCATTTTTTTCAGAACGAAACTGTCTAAGATTACCATGAGGTAATTTCAAGAAGAGTTTTATCACAGTCAACACTGACTGAAATTAAAAATAATAATTTACACAATTCTGTAATATTATCCTCTCCTCAGCTTTAGGCAGTCAAAGCTGTTCAGCTACTCAGGCATTTAAAAGTCAGTTTGCAAGGCATTTGGTTTGCTGATTTTCACAGTTAGACAGAACCTTAAGCAACGCTCCAAATTAACTTAAAAGCATCTATAGTTTTTCTATCTCTGAGGAAGTTTGAACGGAGTGCAATCTGTAAATTAGGGCAAACAGGTGAATCTATATTTCTCTTGAGTTTTCCCTCAAGCACACAAATTTTTGTCTCTATCCAACCAGCAAAAATTTGCTTCAGGATTTTATGTCCTCAAAGCTTTTCCAGTTATAGCTTTGCACTAATATCTGAGGACATTCCCATAAACTGTTTGTCTACTTGAGGCCTTCTTAGGTAGATGTGGGGTGTTCCACCACTCACACATGGAAAGGAGCAGGAACTCTAGATTGGGCAAAGTCTCTGAGCACATCTTTGCCATGCAGGCCACCTCAGTGGTGTGATAAGGCTGGGTTTTTGGCTCTAACGCCTGTTTGCTCCAACACCGGTGTGCCTGCAAAGGTCCCGATACTGCCACCCAGGCTGTGGAGCTCAGAAAGCATGGTCTTCTGTTTGCTCTCCCTGCAAATGTTTAGCTGTGCAGAAAAAGGAAGAACAAGGCCCTGAAAGGAAGCAGGGAGTTGTGGATTCTCAACATGACTGGAGTAGGACAAAAAACCACTATCAAGATAAGCACAGCTAATTTTCTCTATATTGCCACACATACAATTCACTAGGACAAAAAGCCTACACTCTCTCTGAAATCCTTTTTACATTCATGTAGGAAGATGTGCATGTTAATGGATCGTGGGATGATTTCTGAAATGCCTTTGAACACACTGTATTTATCCAGGGGAAGAAGAAAAGGTGCAAGACATAAGATTAGGCTGATGTTGAAGAAGTGCTTCTTTACTCCTTTGAACCTAGACATGCTGTTTAACGGTAACATTTATCATCATTAGCACACTGTGCATCCAGCAACAGCCTGGAGAAGGGTGCAAAAATTCCAGGATGTGGGACACGGTCTTTCTGAAAGTTCAAGACGAGTTTTGGTAGCAGCCATGCATACGCATATCCACACACATCATCTGGGCGGCCAATAACACAGAGTCAGACGATGGCAAGAACAGGCCCCCAGTGCTGTTTGCCTGGGGTTTCTGGCACCACTGTGATCACACCTCCATGCACTAGCTCCACACCATATGCAGCTTGTTGCCAGAGTGCAAGTAAACGTCGTAAGCGACTGCCGTAAGTCAGCCAGGGAGCAGTGAGTGGCGAGAGACTCAGGCACTCTAGTCTAGAAGAGTAAAAAAGAAGGGTGTCTGCAGCACTGCGGACAACAACAGTCCTTGTTCTCCTGCCTTGAGTGAAAGTAAACGAGTCCATTGTTATCTGACTTTGCCAAACCTCAAAGAATAATGCTAGAAGGAAAAATAAGTTTTACAGAATTGAGCATACACAACCCTTCCCTTCATAAACTGTATATTACACTAGTTGAACCTACTAAAGTTAAATGTTTACAATATGCTATATATATATAATGGCACATTTAAGCTTTTTAAGGGGTTGGAATATTTCAGGAATGTCTCTGGTGCTGAAAAAGGCTAACGTGGTATAAATCATATAATATTTTAATTCAGAAAAAATATGTTTGGGTACTTTGACCTAGCATCATATGGATTAGGAAATTGAAAAGGATGCCAACGAAGCATGACTTAGGGATCAGTCAAGCTAGTCTGCTTCAGATACGCATTGTGCAAGGCATTATCGCTGCAGTCAGAGTCACAAAAATGCATATTTAGTTTTTGTACATTAAATACTACACCTGTGAACCTATGTAAAAGATATACAAAATATAAATGTCATCAGGACTGTATATTTCAAACTTTTTAAAATAAACACAAAGTATATATATATGTAGGCATATAAGTTGTAATTTCAAAGTCAACACTAGCACAGTTTGTCTCTTCTAAATACAGACCTGTATACTTCCTATTCCAACACATGCACCTACAAACACATGATCATGCATACAGCTTTACCTTCTGCTGTTTGCAGAAGAGTCAGAATATACAGCACTATACATTGTTTTAACTCAAAATTGAGTGGCAAATTAAGGAAGATGCCATTCAAAAAAAAAAAAAATTATTGTGAGGGATTACCAAAAAAAGAAAAAAAAAAAAAACCAGAGAACAATGGGGGTATAGTTACTTCATCTCAATAAAAACACTGAAGACTGTGACGATGACCCAGGATCCAAAACGCTTTGTCCAGCAGGTCAGGCGAGGGGATCGCACTCGGACGCGAGCCGGGGCGCAGAGCTGGTTGCTGTAGCACATCCCCAGCAGCTGCAGCCAGGAGCGGAGCTGTCACAGCACCGCCCAGCCCAGCTCTGGGCTCACACTGCCGAGGTCTCTGAGCGAAAGGGGACGGGATAGTTGCACGCCGCCCTCCTCGTAGCAGGCGGTGCTGACGGTGACCTGGAGGCCCATCTGGAAGGCAGGCGCCGATTTGCTGGCCGAGCTGGCCGGGAGAAACCTTTGCCACTTGAACACTTAGCAGGCATGGATACCTAGAACACAAAGGGAACTCCTTGCTTTAGCAAGCTACAGCGCAGAAGGCTTCTGTGGAATGCAAAGGGAATGCAGGAACACATTTGGGGTGACCTCAGAACAGGTGCTCTTAAGCTATTAAAAGGCACAGAGTAATGCACAGAACGCAAAAAAACAGATATTTCTGTGCCTAGGGATTCTCATGTCAGTTGCACGGAGACAAGTGCCACACACATTAAAAGGTGTAAAATGTTAATGTAAGCCAAGCCTGACATTCACTGATCCTGCAGATTTCCTTTATGCTTGGGAGTTTTGTGAATGAACTCTGTATACTGTTCTATATATAAAACTCAGAGTACGGTCTTCTTACATTAGTAAGATTCATGCACTTTTCAGGCATCTTTTTGATAGACCTCATTTCAGCAATCACGTCTTGCCAAGAACTGGTTCCATTAGGGCAACATGAAGCAGTGTATGGTTTGTAAATTATTTATGGTGCTTATTTATTAATGCAGTGCCACGTCTGCACGCAGAGTCTCTATATACAAAGAAAATAATAACAGATTTTGATCTGTTACAACACAAATCTGAAATAGTGAAAAGAACCAAAATCCTTCATGCCTCTTGACATTTGCAATTCTTTACATCTGTGAGAAGGGGGTGCTGTTGCACTCGAAGCTTAATAACGTTACTTACACTCGTGCTGTTACTTACTTAATGTTACTTACACACTGGTGTAAGTAACGTTATTAAGCAAATGTTTTTTTAAACTTTTTCTTAAAACTTTTTTTTAAACTTTTTTTTTTAACTGGGAATTTTTTTTAACTTACACCATAACTGGTGTAAGTTATGACCATTATGTGGTCATTATTTCTTCCGTACGTATCTACTGACAAAAATTTGTTTTCCTACCAAATCTTCATTGCATTAAAATAAATAAAAAAAAGATTCATGTATTTCTTTTCCTTCTAAACTGTAATAAAGATGTTTCTGCTAAGCATGAAGTTGCACCACCGCGAGACTGACATAAAGACATGCAGAAGAAAAAAGACAGGGCCAGATTCTCAGCTGTTTAAGTCCACACAGCTCCACTGAAATCTGTGGACTTGTGACAGTTTTAGGAATACCAGCTGACAATCTGACCCATTTAAGTTTTTCAGCTCCAAACACATTGCCTTCCTCTCACCTTAGGTTATAAGGGGCATATCTCTTTGTGCTCTTTGACCAATGAGCTTTTGGGGAGAACTGAATTTTCTTTCTTTGTGGCCATTTACAGAACCTCTAACTAATAATACATTTTCCAAAACATCTGTTTCTCATTTTATTATGAAAGTATGTAGGCAAAGGCAACATTTCTAAACTTTTGCAAATAACATTCAGTCAAATGCAAATTAATTAGTTATGCCATACTCTTCTGTTCCTGTGAGTCTATCCTCCTGAATATATGTTGCAAACCTGAAACTGAGACATGAGTAAGAGGAGTTTACATTATTTTTAAAAGCTTAAAATCTGATTGCAGTTTTCATTAGTTCAGTTTTTAAATATCTGCACTGCAGTGACATTGCAGTTAAGCTCATTTTACACCAAAGCAGCAGAGATCAAAATCTGGTGCATGTCTTCACTGTGGTCATGCCTATTTATATGCTTTTACCTTCCTGTAGCTCTAACTTCAGATGATTTACTCTTGATTCATTCAGATCTTGGCCTAGAATGTCTAATTTTACACCATTATTTACAATACCATGTTAGCTTGCCCCGTTTTAGAATCTGAAGTTTAATATAAAAGTAAATTATTTTGCTTTTGCCAGTCTTACAAATCTTACCTCTGGTAACTTCTGCCTCTCTTTTCCTTGCTTGAATTGCTGCCCAATATGTCTGGCTGAATTCCTTGGAAATTCTTGCTTTCCTTGGTTAGTATGGAGCGTTTCTAAATACTGACTTGATGTCTCACAACCCCCATCACTGAAATGAGAATTTGCTTGTGCCCACCTATCTTTGCAGTATTTTGCAGTACACGGAGAAGTCACTGCTGATTTTTCATAGTTTTTCAAAAGCTTTTCAACAACACCATAGTTTGACCTTGAGTCAGCTGAACGTGGGCGACCAGATAAATTACTTGGTCTCCAGTCATGCTCATGAAGCATGTGCCTGTAACCACTAGTATTTGGAGGTCCATTTAGTTGCTTTTGTTGCCCTGCTGCCCTGATAGCTTTGCTAGGGTTGCTGGTTTCTTGTTCCTTTGCTGTGGAGATCTTGGGATTTGAAATACAGGACATATTTTCAGTCTCTGTCCTGCTAATTTCAGAGTCACACAGAGAGCTGCAAGGTTTGTGATCTTCTGGTACAGTTTGAATAACCTGGTTTTCTGGCAAAGAATTGTTACATTTATCTGTATGAAACACAGTCCGGTTAAACTCATCAATCTTTGCTGCTAAAGTTTCATTTTTGGGGGTCTTTCCCAAAGAACACCTAGAGTCTCCCAGAAGTTCATTGTGCAGGGCAGCAGGGGCATAGGAGTCATTACTGTAATAACGACCGCCATGCGACTTGAGATTTTGTTTCTGGTGTGACTTGTTTTGGGCCATATTTCCATCTGAACAACTCTTCTGGGCTGGCAGTGCGGAGGGCTCACGTTTGCTCTCCTTTCCAAGCTTGCTCACGTCATACGCCCACGTGTTGTGGCAGAAACTCACAGCTACGTTGCACTCATTTTTGCTTACAGGTATTGCAGTAGTTACAATCACAGGACCTTTGACAGTCTGTCCTTCATTTGCACAGGCCGTGAGAGTTTCATCTTGTTTCACAGGTGAAGGATTCATCACTTTATTTCCACTCCTACAATCCTGAACCTTGCAATTGCTTTTGACACCTGGATCTCTTCCTGGTGCTTCAAAAAACTGTACAACTGCAGCAAGTGAGTTTGTCAGGTGCCGAGAAGTGCTCCGAGGAGGAACCGGTGGAGCTTCTTTTTTTGGCCACGGTCTAAAGTCTGTTCCTCTGTCACCAGCACTACAAGACAAGTCCTTCAAACCTTTAGCGGAACTCATCAGATTCTTCCTATTATTATGCTCCTCTGTTTCAAAAGCAACTGAAGTCTGTGATTCATTGCTGGACACATGGTTCATCTCAGGCAGAATAACCGTGTTTTGGGTTTCTCCAAATTCCCCCAGGAAAGGAAGTGACTTCATTCTGCACATAAAAGGAGAGGCATTGCAAGGAAGAGTACTAAGAATATTCCCCCAGGGGACCTCAGCCTGGATTCATTCTTCCCACAAACAGGTGTTTTAAGATTAGCTCCTTAAAAAGGATTTGGGAGCAGTTCTGCTGCAGCTGATACACCCAGAATATTTGAAACATACATGAAGAACTTGAAAAAATCTCAATGAAGGGAATCTTCTATTCCTTTCCTATGTCACTGATATTTATTTTCCAGAGGCTTTTCAGATAATTAGTTTTTAGTTATCCCATAGGAAAATGAGTAAGATCTCAAGGGTTTTAATAACTGAGTGAGATTCTACTTACGAACTGAATGAGGAAATCCTTAATACATAGGGCAGCCCTTGTGTAGCTTTCCTAGCATTCAGCATGACAGTACAAATCTAACTTCTGAGATCTGTTCAAAAATCACCTTCCTCAGCCTGCGTTTAGAAACTATTCATCACTTATTACTCTATTTGCTTTAAAGTTATGAGCCATAATCCAATTGCAGTAATAACGTGGAGACACCCAGCAGACTGACTCTCACAGCCTAACATTTCAGCATATTTCATTTAAACATTTTACTCAGAGCACTGAAACACTCAGAGCTCTGATGGAACCCACTCAGACCCTAATAAAGTGAACTGCACCTCCCTACTCAAAATGAACAGAAGCCCAGTAAGTCTCATTATTCATTTTCTTTCTCTAACAGAAAGAGGCCAGATAATGTTTTTACCTTTTGTGGTTGGACTTCTTTCGAATTTCCTCTTGATAGCTGCATAATTCTTCACTAACTCTGGCAAGTTCTTTAAGAGCCTTTATAAATATAAAGATATTTCTTTAACACAGGCATTTTTAAATGGTACCTCCAGAATTATTTTGAAACTTGATTGTGATTTTTGTGTTGATTTACACACAAAAATCAGAGCAGAGCAAAGTAGCAGAAAGATAGGAAATTGCTCCCAAGTTATGAACTGAGGTAAAGAGCACATACACTGTTAACACATTTAATCACTGCTAAGACACTCCTCAATATCAAACTGAGGAGAAGTAGAAGATGGAATACCAGTCTTTTGGGAAGATAAAATCAGGGGGATCCATTCTTTACGTTAGCCTTGATAGGCCAAAGACTTCATAGTTTTCCTCACCCTTTTAACTAAAACATGCCAAAACTTTACTTACTACATTGAGATCACCAATATAATTCTTGGTATTCTTCTTGGAAGCTTTGATGCTGAAGTTGTTTTCAGGTTCCTCATGGTTCTCAAAGGCCAGATTGCCCCTCAACAAATCATTGGTTTTCCACTTGGCTCTGGTTTCTTTGCAGTCTTGTCCTGTTTTATTGAGCATATTCCCTTTTTCCTTCCTGTCATTTGCCACATTGTATTGATAGTTCAGCTCCACTGTGTCACTCTCTTCCAAAGCAGGGGAATACATGGACAACTGCAGCATCTTGCTATGAATGTCTTTATTATCGAGGACATTCATATTGTTCTCCCGTCTAAGTTTTACCTCCTGGTAAAGCTGAAAAAAAAGAGTAAAATCTTCTATTAAATCAGGCTATCTTGATGATATTCATGATGAAAGAATATACTCATCTTCTGTTTTGAATCATGCTTCACTTAGCAACATTGACTGTGGATAGAAAGACTTGATATATGTGTTAGTAGATGATGGAATTTCCAAGTATGCCTCTTTTTTTTCTAGTCAAGTGACTTTGGGAAAGAAATTTTAGGAAATTGAAATCAAGGCAGCTACAGACAATTTAATAAGCAACCTTTAGGATACCAATATTCTCAGAGCATCTTCTGTATTTTGTCTGGTCCGGAAGTAACTAGATATTTGCTTAACTCTCTTGCCCTCTGCTCCATTCCATTCTTCGTGACTTTTTCACCCCATCATGCTTTCCTAAGCCACTTGCTAACGAAAAAACACGTAAAACACATGGTTACCAGGACTTACAATAATGCTATCATGCCAGAACACCTTATCACAACATAGGGCCTTCATTCCAAAACAGCTTATAAACCAAACAAAATGATCTTAAATCAATTACACATATCACTTCATTAACTTTGAAGCACTTTCACCTTGGCGTAATTAAGAAAGACATCACAGAAATGGCATAATGCAAAAGAGCAGATCTATCATGGCCATGACTACTGGCCATGACTATGATACCAAAGTCCAGCAGGACTGCAGGCAAAACTTTAGAGAGCTGACATTATGGAGCTACGCTGCAAACCGAGGGCAGTGTATGGCTGCAATTCATTTGGCGTTGATCTTTTCCTTCTCATATTTTCATGTGAGCAGTCTCTGCCACACATTCCTGTGCTGTTCAGCCACAGGATGGTGTTGGCAGGGAGCAAGCAAAACTACCTCTTGTGTATATTAGAATGACAAATGCGGAAAGCTCACTGATGAATAGCTTGCCCATATATATTACCAAGCAAGATTCAATGTGTGCATTATGGAGTGCCAGAGGGTTCTGCTGAAGTGATAATTTGGGGATAAAAGAATAATAAATAATTGCCTAAACTATTTCTGGAAAGAGATTCATTAGAAATGGGAAAGAGAGTTTGTTGCTATGTGTAAACACAAGTTGTGTCAGGGATTTCATGATATTTACCATAGCCATTTTCTCTGCTAAATGTCATCCATAAATGGAGCAGACTCTTGCCAGAATAATTCTACATCATACAGTGTTGGATGTATGAAATTCTTTTTAATATTACCCTTTATGCCAGCAGATTTGCTCCAAATAATTACCTTTTACCAGAGAACTATATTATGATACCTAGATTGAAATTTTGCTACTACATATACATTTTCCTAAACCTCATACATGCAGGTCTGTTCAGCATGTCCACGCTTGCAAAAAGTATATCTAAAATGAGCATTGCGGCTTATGCCCAGAAGAACTGGCAGCAGTATATGCAGCCAACAATATTATAGCAAATCTGACCCAAAGTGACATTTAAGATTCTGCTCCTTATTTATGAGTATTAAATGAGAAGCTGCAAATACTGCTTCACCCCAGGCTTTGTATCCTACCATCACTTATTAAAAACTCTCAATGACAGGGATGAATAGGGAGTAGGAAATAATTCACAGAAAAATTCATAGAAGTGACCTCTAGTCACTGACAAGACTTAAATGAAAATGTTAGTGTTCACAGCTTTGTCTAAAAGTACCTCTTCTATTTTCTTCTGCATAATCTTCCATTGACATTCCCATTCTTTCCTTTCATTGTCAAATCTTTCCAGCAATTCCATCTTCTCTTTATTCCAATTCTTCTCAGTATTCTCCAGTTGTTTTTGTAGGTCCATGGCTACAGTTTGTGTAACAGCAAGAAGATAGCTCTGTGTTTTCCCTTCTTCCCCGAATGTTTCCTGGAAGTTTATCAAAATAAGTCTCATCTGTATTTGATTTTAGTTTTCAGGGGAAAAAAAAAAAAAAAAACACCACCACAACGACAAACAGCCCCTCTCCCCAAACAATTAACTTAAATTGTCTTGCAAGAGACAATACGACAATATCACAGGATTGGCATGATCTCTGTCTGCAGTATGACTGCAGTATCGAAGAACTACGCACCATGGGCAGCACACCCAGGCCCCATCTGAACAGGCAGGGAGGGATGCACATCCAGCACTATATAATCCAGGAATGTCTACTCCAGCACGTTGTGCATCGTGGCCACTTCACATTTTTGCCATCACTCTTCACTAAGCCTGCTTTCAATGAAATTTGAGCCTGCATGACACTGACTGGCACATTAGGGCACTTTAAGACCTTGGCAAGGTCCTGAGGATTTGTGTTTGTTCAAAAGACAACTGTAAATGTAAAGACACAGTGGTTTTTTTTTTTCATGTAATCTTTTCACACATGCCTGTAGCATGACAAAAACTAGGACATTCTAGTAATTGAAGACTATGAACTTCATACTTGAAGCAAATTTTCATGGTTATATGAATGCCTTAGAATATGTGAAGGAAAACAAGAGAGAAAAGCCATTTACATTTTACAAATATATACAGTAGAAAGCATCATTCTACTATATGAAGAACTATAGGGCACAATAACGAGTTCATGGAAATTGGATATATGGATCTAAATCTACAAACATCAGTTCTATGACTAACTTAGGAAGGAACATATTCTCTGACTACATCTATTGAAATTTAGCTGGAAATCTTCTAACTTTTGGGCTAAATGGTTCTAAGTTTTAAGGGCTGGCACTTCTCTTGCTTTCTCAGGTCTGAAAACGGAAAATCTGCTGCTATCGGAACACTTACTATGTCAAAAAGGCCAATCACCCGAATTCATTCCTTTACAACAGCTTGCACGTACATATCAATACTCTTGTAAACTTCGGCCGCAGAGCAAGCTGTTGTGCTAGCTGGGAGGACATGGAATCTAGTTCTAATTACAACAGGGTTCTGGCTTTGTCTCCTAGCAGAAGGCAATTGTATGGGCGGATGAACAAATTATCGCAGAGTTAACTAGGGGTAAGCCCATTTCACCCCTCCGAAATTATTCATTTTCCTGACTGCGAGTCAGTGTTTGTCTGCACACAGGAACTGCTCATTTTATCTTCCACATTTTCTTTGATATAGTGAATATTCATTCTTGAGCTTCATTCAAAATTCTTCCTCATTCTGTATTCTGTTAGGCAAATGTTGATTCAGCTGTGGCCACTACACAATCACAGCTTACCAGTGTCTGCACTATTTCAGCAGATTTGTGGGCTGATGCCAAACTTGGAACCAGCTTCTTTCATTAACAAATAAGCAGAGAGCTCAGCTGAAGCCCGACAGGTTGCTCTTGTCTCTGGATCATATGAAATCTTGCTACAGGATGTTTCAACTGACAAGGATCAGGTGACCAATTCAAACTCGTGGTAGCAAAACCGTTCACCCCAAAGAGTTTTGGACTTAAACCTTACAGAACAGGCTGATTATGTTCTGAACAGCTCTGCCAGGCTGTTTCACAGCAGTGTCACCAAGCCACCATGTAACATGACATTGGAGCTTAGCTCTTTCAAGCTTTGCCTCCCAGCTATCTTGGAGCTCTGTTCCTGGCAATCTGTTCCTGAACTATCTGCAGATTTCAGATTTTTTCTTTTTCCAGCTGCCTAGGAGCATAAAGAGCAGCTTTACAAAAATATAAAATTCCCTTCAACTAAGAGAGGTGCTGAGAGACAATGCAGCCTTCTCAACATAAGAAAAACCAGGCTCCGTTTTGCTCATGGCTTTGCAGAGAAGGCAGGCAGACTGTAGAAACTGCACCTCTCCAGACCAAAGCTCCAGCTTTTTGCCAAAGACTTCAGTAAGTGTTGATGAAAAAGAACTTGCATACAAAATATGTTCTGTGAAAGATCTGTTGCAATCTTAACATCTACTCCTAAAGAACTTTACAACCATTTCAATGCGGTCTCAATTTGCTAGTTCAGAGTTGTAAGTCATTTACTTTTTTTGGGCTACATTTAGACTTTTATAACTTTTCCAAGACATCCCAGGGAAATACATTAAAATAATTTCTCTATCTCTGCTCCTCTGGATTTTTTCAAATATGTGCCAGAAAGACACAGCTAAACTATGAAACACTGTCACATCATGAAGTAGAGATAGAGGCATAATCTGCCTGCAAGCTGCAGAAATTACGAGTCTCCCAGTGCACCATTAGTAGTAATGATCATGATTCAATAAGCATCAATAAATACACATTACTGGAGAAAAACTCAAGACTATTCACTATAATTTTAAATAGACATAGCAGAACAGATATAGAATCTGTAATCCTTTCAAGTATGTATATAGTGTTAAAAGACTGCTCGTAGTTTCTTAGTGCTGGGAACTATTATTGCCATGTTTGCATCCACCTTAATGAGGTATTTATATGGAATTCTAATTATAGAAATAGATCGGAGACCAAATTGGATCAAAAATGCAATCAGATTTTGGAAAAGTTTAGATATGGAGAGTTACATGTAGCTCCAAGTTCCACAGAAAGCTTATACTCCTTCTTACACTTCCCTGATTTCCTTTTGACACAAATACTGAGAAGAGAGCTCATGTTTATTGATGTTAGCAGCTGGTGGATTTTGCTGCTTTTGTATGTTGGGGAAATTCCTCTGAGAGCTTTAACTCCTATATCTTTGTGTCTCCTTCCTTCCTTCCTTTCTTTTTTTCTTTCTTTCTTTTGTTCTTTTGTTCTATTTGTTCTTTTTCTTTCCTAGGAACCAGGAATAAACTTTTATCTGTAGCCTTGGTAACATACCCTCTCTCTGAGGGCAGCAATAGGATGTCCTCACAGGTATTTCACATCGCTTATGCAACATAGTAAGATGTACAACACCATTTCTCTCTTTTTTTAATTTAAAAATCTATAACATTTTTGAGTAAGCAAAAGACAGGCAAGATTTTAATTTTCCGTGTGGATCAAAACAGTGTCTGTGCTCTTGCAGTATTGGCTTTTTTGGGATATGTCCTAGACAAGGTCAGAAACTCATTACAGTAATCAACTTAGAGCAAATAATCAATTTTGTCTGCATCAGCTGCATTTTCCTCTAGTCTGCCTTCCTCACAAGCAAAAAATAATATATATATATTTTAAGCTACTATGTAATATCAATGCAACTATCACCCCCATGTCTTATCTATACCCTTTCTATCCACACATTAAAAATGTAAAATAGTTTGAAACCAATCTCTATATGGAGTATGAAAATTCTGAAAATAATCTGTAGCATCCTCATAGAAAAGACTACATTTTTCAACAGACTAACTAGATTAGGTGTGCATAATCATTCAGATATACAAGGTTTTCCTTGAGTTTAGGAAAAAAAATCTATTAAACTATATTTCCAACAAGGTGCTGTATTTTGCATGACTAAGGAAATTATAAATTTATTTATTCAGTTATAAAAGAATGTCAGGTGTTATACTACCTACCTTCACACCTAAAAAGAAATGACGTTTGAATGAGAGAAAAAAAAAGGAAGAGAGGCAGAGAGGTGCAGAGAAAGAAAGCAAGAAAAAAAATGAAAAAGCAAGAAAGCAAGAAAGAGAAAGAAAGCTAGAAAACAAGAAAGCAAGCAAGAAAGAAAGAAAGAGAAAAAGAAAGAAAGAAAAGAACAAAGGAAGAAAAAAGAAAATAAGAAAGAAAGAAAAGGAAAGAAAGAGGAAAATGGAAAAGAAAAATACAATGACTAAGTGCTCAGAATGATACCTGTCATCTCTGTTTTGTTAAAATATCCGTCCCTTCTCTGGAAAAACTGACTGAACCCATCAAGAGTCCATACAAATAAAGAAGAACATACCTAAACACTATATAACATATAAATAGAAATTGTCTCATTAGTAGTTTTCACTGTTTTTTAAATCTTAACTGTTCAAAACTGCTCAAAAATACTAAGTTAAAATAAAACAAGACCATACCTTTCATGGAGTAATAAATCCTTTGAAAGTTTTGCAGTCCATTTCTAAACAGCAGCAAAAGCAATGAAAGGCATAGCTAGCTGAGATCCAGTTCTGCAAATCTTGATCTTTAAAAGCAAAAAGAAAGCTAAACAAGACACAACCTTTCAAACGGGGCAGCATTTGCAAATCTCTTAGAGTAACTCCGCAACTTTTGCAAACTGAAAAACAGTTCCGTTTAGCATCATCCTAGCAGCTGGCTTCCATGTGACGTCAGTGCGTGGAGGACGGCTTTAAAGCCATCTCTTCCAACCCCCAGCCCTGTAACCTTATATCTCCTCATATTTTGTGTAAACAACTCCAAGTCCAGGACATTTTTAGGTTTTACAGTGCAGCCCAGTCTTTAAAGCTTGCCAAAGCAGCCAGTGTTAATATTAAAGCTATGACAATAGGCAATTTTAGACTTCTTTTATTAGCATCTATGTTGTAAAGGGAGATTATTTTGTGTTGTCCAAAATCAGTTTTCAGGGCTATCGCCTTTTTATTATTATTTTGAGCTTTGCAGCCTGATCATTATAAACTGTTTTGTAAAGAAGGTTGGTTTAAAGAGGCAATTTTATTGATTAACTATCTTAAAGAGTGAAAAGCAAACTGCTCCTTCCTAATTTTTTTTTTCTATATTAAAATATATTATCACTTACAGAGGTATGGAATTATTGGGTATTGTGTAATCTTATTGTCTGGCATTCTGTGAATGGTGATAATGGTTTCTTTGAGATACATTTTTTTTTTCCTGCTACTTTCTAGGTTTTCTGAGTTGGAAACTCCAGTCTGTTAAGATAGTTTGTGTCTCAGCAAAGGAAAGTGGTTGAAATTGGATGGAGAATCTCCCTTTCACAGGGAAACTCACCTCCAATGTAAGACTGGCAAGGATGTTTCAGACATGAGAGCATTACTCGGAGGCAGAGAGACTTGCAAACCCTGTCAGATTGCCGTTGCCGCTCGAGGACTTCACTGTAACTGTCTGTCCACTACACGTTACAGGCACGAGGAGACTTGGCCTGGCTTCCACTCCATCTGGGCAACGCCAGCAGGCACAGTAATCACATGTTTTTTCTACCCTGATAATTTTAAAAGTAGCTC